GTTATCGCGGCCGGCGTGTCCAGAAAAAGGAGCAGAGTGGCACTCTTCGAAGACCCTCGCTTTATCTTCCTCGGCGATAACAAGACGTCGAAGCGCTGTGCCATCCTTCTTCTTGGCCACGTAGAACAAGGACTCTAATTTTGAGTCATACTCAAACTTTTTGGCGAATTTTCTAAGAATTGTTTTGTCTTGCTTTGTAAAGCCTTCCGGATAAACCTTATTTTTAAGATACCGGAACAGATTTGTATATTTAGTACCCTGGGTGCCAGAGACTTTTCTAGCGCGGTTTCCGGTTTCTGTCAAGTCTTTATAGTGACCCGTGCGAAAAGTTTTTCTCGCGGCTTCGCCGCTCGTGGCTTCGGCCTACGGCCGAAGATGTGTCGGCCTTCGGCCAACACCGAAAATTCCCGCCGCACGCGAGAAAAACCTCTGGCACCCAGGGTATATATTTAGCGGAATCCATCTCTAAAAGGTTTTCGATTTTCCCGCGAAATCCCAAATTGTTTTGGAGGGGATGCCCAGAACGCTAGGGATTTGGGCATCCCGGGAGGGTACCGGGGGATGCCCAAAACGCTGCAGTAATATGAGAAGGGGATACCCAAAACGCTAGGGATGTGGGAATGGGGATGCCCAAAACGCGGGGATGCCCAAAACGCTGTGACACCGCCGCCATATGGGAAAGCGAGAAGACCCTGGGGACGAGGTTGCTTACTGCCTTGCAGCCATAATATTTGTTCTATTGTATTTCACTTTTACGGAACCGATCGGATTAAAGGATTCTAAATTATGTCGGTATATTCTGGAGGATTTTTTTCTAGTATTGTAACTGTTTCATACTCATTTTTGTCGTATTCCCTTTTTATACTGGCCTGTGCCAGGCTCTCCGTCAGCGGCGAGCGAAAAAAGCGGGCGAGCAGTGAAACAGCAAGCGAGCGAAAAACGGTGGGAAGATTACTCAGGTGCTCTATACATCGATGCCCAACATCGATGCACGTGACCTGCATCAGCAGCTGGCTGTCTGGTTTGAACCAAAAAAACCAGTGGCTAAGTTCTGAGAGGACGGACGTACTTAAGGTCAAACAAAACTGACTAAATGAACTTTATTCAACGTCGAATACGAATTATGTTTACTTGACAAACTATAGGCGCTATTACTCTGATTCCATATTTTAGGCAAAACAATTTTTCTTGCCTCCGGATTGGGCAGATATATAAACCAAGAATGGTTCTAAATATTTAACGGGAATTTAGACGGTTCGGGGTTATGTGCTTGGGATTGTACTCTCTGGTAATACCTACATTGTAGACGGTGAGCAGTCTCTTATTTCTTTTATAAAACTTTAGAGTTTCAAAGTCACTGGAATGTCACCTGTAGCACAGTCGACCATGCAGTAACACATAAAAGGAGGCGCGAGAAACCAGGGCTTAGGAAAAAATCGTGTTGTTTGCATATATGCAAGCTGGGGTTTGCTAGGATTTAATTTTAAGACAAAAAGGGCGACTACAAAAAGATTTTAGATATGATGCCCATCCCACCACCCTAAAGCTCCTTTTGACAGCCGGTTAACCTCAGTGAACAATTGCTCCGGCGTACTCTTTTCTTTGGGTCTAGAATCCATACACGAGTAGGGGATGTAGAGAGATCAATTAAGAGTAATGTTGAAACGACATCAAATCAACCTAGACTAAAGCTCTATGCGACAACTGATCCAGCACATTCCACACACTTTCTCGGCTTCTTTTCTTCTGGCACTCTCTCCCTTTCTCGTATTTTACAGGCCAACACAGCCGTGCGCATGCTGAACTGTGCCGATTTTCCGAACTAAATTGGTTATTCCTTCCGAACTGTGATGTCATTTCGAGGGGAAATTTTTATCTGCAATCGGCCCGGGGGACAAAGTTCCAATGACAACTCCCACTCAAAATAAAAATAGAAGAAAACAGGAAATTAAGGCAGAGAAAATGCAGCCGATCCTGTTTTTGTACATTGACTAAAACCACAAATAGCTTGCTAACTCCCTTTTACCTACAGAGTCATGGCCATTCAAGTTATAGAAACTTCTTTTGGTAATATATATTTTCAGTGCAAATTGATGCAGTGACTTCGTTTTTCAGTATCACAAAAGAGATTTTTGAATTTTCTTAAATTGTGCTTTGCGGAGCTTCAAGTGTATAAGGATTAATAACCTTGCTTTTTATATAGTATGAAAATTTATTGCCCGTCAGTCTAGATATCACACCACTTTAGGAGTATAGCCCGAGGCATCCTGATTCCTTGTTACACCTCATTCACGTTCACTGAATAACAGTGGGGTCGACGACAAGTAATCGATCAGTCTGTCCTGTTACTAAGCAGTCTTTGAAGGAGTCTTTGAGACACTGCAACAAATCAAAATACTTTCAAATCCGCTATTATTTTTCACCTCTCTATATTACTTCATCCGTTTGAGTTTGTACCGAAATTATCTCAGAAGCGCATGTTGCAGATGTCGAATTTAGCTGCCAGTGATTAGAAAAATGTTCAGGAAACCACAGCTCGCGACTTTATATTTTATTGCCAAATAAGTAGCTGTTTTGTTCGTTTTCTACAAACTAATAAGCATTATTTTGGTCTTTTAGAATCTAGTGGGTAAAGTACTCATGCTAAGGCCACAAGAACTCCGCATTTTTTTCTTCCTAAAACCGTTCCATATATCATTTAACACAGGGATCCCTGACTGACAACTCTGAGTGCATTAGAAACTGATACGGTAGATTGCATTCTACAAATGTTTGTTATCACATACCCTGCGAGGTTGTGGTTTCAATATAATGTACGCAATCATTATTATTATTAACGCATGTATCCAAAACCAAAGACTTAACTTCCACCCTTAGAAAAGATTCCATAATAAAAGAGCACTTCGACGCACTGTCAATTAAAGAAAAGCGAAATAGTAGATCCCTTTTGGAATATGTATAACATGTCTAGGTGTACAACTGCTTGGCTAAATCTTGTAACAGTATTGAGGATCGAAAGGAAACAAATCTAACAAAAATTAATGGTAACTTTTTGAACCGCCTGATCGCAGGTTAAGACAAACCTTACCCTAGTGAATCATGCATCCTGCTTGCGCATCCAGCTGAGTTCAGAGAATTGCGCGTTAGTTCGGAAGAAGTCTTTCATCTGTTAATAAGGTAAAGGAAAAAGGATAGGAAATCTTGTTATATTACTTGCTATTTTCGGGTATAGTTTCAAATTTGTTGCTGGAATATTCATTATCTAGGTGTTAATGTAATCGCATTACAATTACTGTATAAGTGTACAATACTTGTTTTTATGTGCAATTGAACGATAAGAACGAAAAGGTCAGGCTGATAGTAGGCGGGATTACAAGCACCTTTTTAGGGAAAACAGTCAATGATGCTTATGTAAACCATTTAAAAGGAAGTATGAAATGTAACTGGTAGCACCATTTTATAAGAAGCCTAAGAAACTCGTCCGTGTGCCATGTTGTTTTGTGGGGTGAAACGGCTTAGTTGGATGTAATATAACATGCAGAACAGGCTTATTTGTTCGCGTTTTTCAGGTGAGCGAAGGCAAGCCAGCGAGGGCGCAAGACACGCGCCACGTCCCGCCCCTTGCCTGCTCTGCAGACTAGATGTAATATCTCATGAAGTCTAGTAGAGGGAAAGTATATTTACTACTACGCCCTTCTCTGATTTCGGACATAGAATCTAACATTGCCTCCTACACACTGATCGTTCCGCCGGCATACAACATCGTAAGAGTGACGATATAAACACCAGTCGAGAACGATCCATAAAAACCACAGTTTTCTAAAGAATCCATAGCGGTGAGGCTGTGGTTTCCTCTTCTCTATAATTTTGTTTGGAGTACTTAAAATATTTTAGTCAGGGTGGATAATTAGATTGATTCGTTTGACCGCAGACACCACCAAAAGAAAGAGTAAAAGAACTTTGAGAATGATTTTTCCACTGCTACAAGGTATTAGGTCCTTTTAACAAAAGCCTATAGGAAATACCGTAACAGATAAGTTAAATAAGTGACTTTTATGGGAGAAGCTTCCTATCAAAAATATTTTAATCATCATGATTATGTTGGGAAGAAAATGCTAGACTCGAGCTCAGAAAATAGTACATTTTAAGATGTTACTTCTCTGGAAATATCTTTATTTATACAAAGTTTAAGATGACTATGGGGTGAGAAAGTTGGATTATCATTGCCATCTTTTCTTCAATGAATGTCAAATTTTAAATAATTTCTTCGCAGTCCTTTCAACTGTACAACCGGACAAAATAGATCGATTTTTCATCGGGTTTGAACGAAACTCCAACGATCGCCAGCATTTCCGACCGCACCACGATCGTGGTACGGGGGCGCATCGTTATAATGTTTGGCGGCGTAAGGCGAACGCACCACACCCTGTTTATGAAGTATTTTGCCTCGGGGTAATTTATTTCACCTTCATAGAGAATAAAAAGAGCATCGTCACCTCGTATCAGTCAATTCAAACCACGACGAGAAAACTGAGCAACTCATAAAACTGGATATACTTCAAGACACAGGGACCAAGATTATCGTGTTTCTATGATGGATTCTCAAGTTATAGGTGTTTTATTCGTTGTGCTCGCTTCTGCTGCTTTTTCATCGGCGATACGTAAGTTTTTTTCTTTACTTTGACTTGTTCCCTTGAAGCGACCCTTATTGTTTTAGCGCGTAAAACCGATGTTCAAAATTCTTTGATGTCCCAACTATGATAACGTGTGTTGAAGAATTTTGTTACGGACAACGCTTTTAATGTTTACCAAGTTTTGATCTCAATCCTGGTTTATTCTTTATTTCGCGTGATGTTCAGTACTGTCTTTAACGCACATAAAGCCATGTTTTAATGACTCTATAAACTGTACGCATTGATAGTTAAACTATGACTGAAAACAGGCGTGTCCTGGCTGGCGTAGCTGGCCAGATGACATATTGTTTAACAGGACGGTAAGCAATGCTAAAGTGGAATTATTTTTGTTATCTCACAGTGTGCAAGGACCGTATGGAAACAAGAACGTGTCAGTATTTTGTGAGACTGTATCGCGCCAGAAGCATTGATGTCTGCACGTGGAAACATATGACAACTAACTGCGCATTGACTTGCAAGAGTTTGTGGTAAGATATCAAAAAAAAAGTAATAAAAGTAATTAGGACAATCGTCGAAGTTGTGTTGATTAATAGCTGGGCTCACTGATAAGCCTCTTAAACTTAAGCCAGTTTCTAAACGGTTCAGGTCAAGAAAATTAAGTAATTAACCTTGCCTTAAAAATAGCAGGTTTTAATTAAAAAAAAAAAGAAAACGGAAATGATTATCGGGGTATTTTGGAAAAGTTCTTTTCCGTTACAGGTGTGGCTCTTGGCCCTTCATTACACCTGCCCCCAGTGGCCTCAGTAAAATATTTCGAGAATTGACCGTGCTATCAATTGGCCTTGCGTCAGATACGTCTTGATTTTATAAAATTCCCTTGCCGGCAATCGGGCGTGTACTTTCTACCTAAAAACTAGGAAAAAAAAAACCACGTGAGAAGAGAGAGAGATCAAACTGAAGATGTATGTAGGAAGATATGGAATGATCATTGCAGGGTATATATATTTCCATAAAGTACGCTCTATAAGCCAAGACTCTCCGTACTCCTGGGATAAATTCCTCACTCCATGCAGAAGGAATGGGGGAGTGAGGCGCAACCATCTCTGGGATCCTTTAGCTTTGGGTCCGAACAAACGTTATTCACGAGTAGTTAATGGTTGCTTTCAATTGAATACCATCGACCAGTCATAAAAACTAACGCTTGTCCACCTGAGCGATCCCAAACAGCGCTGCACCCAAAGCTTGTACCCATTCTCCATAGAGATTCTGAAGACCCACGTAGCGAAAACTATTGAACACGTGTGGAGGTAATAAGATGCCCATTTGTGGCTAATGTAGTTATCACTTTGCTCATGGCTACGCTTCTACGTGTTTCATACAGAACCTAAACCGAGATGCGCTACAGCAGCCAGCAAATACGGCTGTTGCTGGGACAACAAAACAGAAGCGCAGTCATTTAACGGTGAAGGCTGTCCCGGTAAGGAAAAACGTTCATACGATTATCTACAGAAACTAGTACACACTAGTTACATAACATCCTCGGAGACCCAGTGGGGTCGGCGTAACCGTTACTTAATTAATTAAAAGTTAACTATTAAATAGTAGGTAAGTAGCAATTAAGAAAAGTCGTACACAGTAAAACTCTAAAAAAAGCACTATATTTGACCTGTTGTACTTGAAAGGTTCTTTTAATAATTAGCCAAAAAAGTTCAGATTTGTTGGGATTAGTTTTAGTCTTGTAAAACATGGTTGGAGCACATGTAATGCTTTATCAGAAAGTGTGCTAAACGTGATACAGTTTTTCGACACCAGTAAGGGTAAACGTCTGTTACCAAAATAGAGAGACCTGTGAAACAACAGCAACACAACAACAACAACAACAACAACAACAACAAAAAGGCACTGCAAATGTCGAAGATTTTTAGCGCGGATGATAAGATAGAAATCTAATACTGGGGTTTCTTTATTATGTTAGATCGATCGGTTATTGAATCTGAATTGAAATATGATGTTTGGTGTATTTTTAACAGAATGTAAAGATAACTACCCAAGCTATTGCAAACTTCGCATTTCAAGATTTTCCAAAGAAAAAGCCTGCAACGAACGTGGAAGACAAATGTGCCCGAGAAGTTGTGAAGTTTGCAGTAAGTCAGAGTACCATTAAACCATAAAAAAAGTTGGATAGTTCCTTTCGATCGCTCTCTCCGGAGAAATGCAAAAAGATGAGAACCGGAAAAAGTCTCCTTTCACGGAGGGGAATACTCGCAGGAATTCTTTTACCCCCTTGTTCTTCAAAACCTTACCCTGATGGTTTCTGATCATGGTTCTGAGCAGCAGCCTTTGAGTTTTTTTAATATATTTTTTTGATAAGTTTTACTCAAAGCAGTGTTACCTTTATCCCCTTCATAGACTAGCGTAAATCAGAGGATTTACTTATATATCATGACAGTTAAAGTCAAGAGAGAACCTGAAGTACAAAACATTTACATTTACCAGCGGACCAAGTGCGTGGTCATGGGATTCACGATCAAAGAAAAACACTCCTATTTTGTTTACAATCACTTATACAAGAGCACTGCTGACTTGTTAACTTCTTAATTAATCTTCGCAGAAATAAAGGCCTCGGCACAAGCCCGGCCAGACTGCCTTGACTCACCATACGGGTGTTGTTGGGACCTTACAGCTGCCACGGGACCTGATGGAGCCGGATGCACAGGTGAATAGAAAAATGGTCAAAAATCATTCTTATATCTGGCACTCCTAACAAGGATGGTATTTGTTGCTCTTAAGAGTTTAAGAACTAAAAAGTAAAAACATAAAACAAAATGCGGCAGGGGTTAGAGCAGTCAATTTTTGGTAGAACGCAGAGCGACAACCGAACGCCGAATGACTCTCAAGTTTGATCATTCATTAAGAAGCAGAAGGAATCCAGTTTCGGTCAAGTTCGCCAGCTTGTATAATGACAATAAATGGAACTTAACTCACTCACTTTGCTCCTATCCCTAATTTAATCACTAACCTTCAGGTCATTCGGCGGTCAATGACCGAGCAAACACGTTTTTGCCACAATCACACCAGTGACCAAAAATCTGTGCCATCAAAATGTTTCAACCAAGATAAATGTTAGCTGGAAAGTAACCAAGGTCGGTGGATGTTAGCGTCGAATTTCAGATTTTTCAACCTTTAATTCAAGATACGTTTTGTTAACTGAAAAGCATATTTTACTGATTCCGTCCTATTTCTTTTGCAGTTTGTCGAAATCTGTATGGAAGAATGTGTAATTTGTTTGAAGACTACTGTGAACAAGAAGCATACAAATATGTCAAAGCAAGTGTAGTAGAGAAATACCGATACAGCTGCCCAGTGAAGTGCGGGCAGTGTAGAGAGGGTGAAACCAAGTTGGATGTTGCGACATTCTTCCTTAATAGTAAGTACATCTTATCCCTTTGCTTAGAAAACAGTCATAAACACCTCTCATGAAGGCCGAATAGCAAGGAAAAAATAAGGCTCGAGTATGTTTCATAGACTTTTCGTTCACTGCAATCTTCTAAAGCGTACATAAGCCGAGAAATAAAGTTTGATTATTAAATTAAAATATTTTAAACATGCCTGGATGCAGATTAACAAGCTTCGCAATTATTTTTTCCCATTGTAAACTGGTTTCAAATCTATATTTTTTCGATCAGGACGGGTAATAGGGCAGCAAGGGTGGCTGGGTCAGCCAAAAATGTTTCTGGTTGTCAACTGAGCTCGTCAGGTTCATCAGAGCCGATCGCTTATTGTGCTTTTTTAACTGACATTTTTATTTCTCTTCTTCCCAGGACGGTTCTAAAAGGAACAGATTTTGATTTAACGTATCAAAGACTGTTCAAACAAACAAACAAGAGTGTGCGGGCGACCGGCGCTCCAGAAGTAAAAGCCACCAACTGCATTCAAGAACGATCCGAAGAGAGAGATATAAATGTAATTCTATCGCCAGGTGTTACATCAGCCAGACAGAAAATATCAGACTTTTTTCACGATGAGAAGGCTGCATCAATAATTATGAATTTGCATTATGCTGCCAGTTATTCTAGATATTTATTGTGACTGTAAGTAATGTTTGTTTATTGCAAAATAAAATGTTTTTTTTTTGCAAGGAGTATCAAAATGCTTTGGGGTGTGACTTTGAAAGGTTTTTGTTTTACTTCTTTGCAAGAAAAAGGTTGCGGATCCTGGTGTATCCCAATCAGGGAAACTTTTGTAAACAAAAAGTGAAGATTTAGGGAAACATAAACGTGTAACAATGTTCCGACGTTTCGGCCTTCTGAACGTGCAAACCGCTAACTGTATTTTTCTTTCGTGCATATTTAGGGTACTTTAACTCCTTTTGAACTCGCATTTATTTCCATCCTTGATAAAGGCGCCTTGTCGCCGAAACGTGGTAGCATTATTTCGTTACTATTAAGAAGTAAAGTAGCCGTAATATTGATCACAACAGCTAGATTCTGGCACAATAACATCCTCCAAGCTGTAAGCCCTACTTATTTACCTTTCATTTTGCACCGTAGAATAGCTTTTAATTTTCAAGAGAAAGAAACCAATTTTTTGCGGTCTATTAGTTTCCAGTCTAGTAGCCTGTAGCCTTCCACGCAAACGTTCTGTTCCGGCAAGGATTACGTGAATAGCCAAAGGGAGGTGGAGGTTAAGCAGCCTGCAAAAACGAGACAGATCCTGCCGTCTCTCGACTAGCCTGTGTCAACCTACCCCTGCCACGCCCTCATCAGCTGACACAGGCTACGTTTTTCCCCCCACTTTGGAGCCTAAAGCACGTGGCTTCCCATTTCCCCCCCGCGCTTTATTTAGTTCTCTCTTCAGCCTACCTAGAGGCCTCTGCGGAGAGAGAGCGGGAAAGACGGGCGTGTGAGGCTCGCGCTCGCACGCTTCGCTCGCGTAAGACTGGTACGCCACGCTTTACCGATTTCTTTACTGATTTTGAGAAAAAAAAACCGACTGCTTCGCAGTCTAAGCCGAGCGAGACAAGCGAGAAGTGCCAGAGAGGGATGATGGGAACGAAAGTAGAGCGCGAGAGGGAAGTGACGCTTTTTCTCCCCTTTCCATCACTCCCTTCGTCTCCGCTCTCCTTAATAATTAACTCAAATATCCCCCAGTGAACGAGAGCGGCTGGGGGCGAGGCAAGTAAGGGGAAACTGAAAAATTTATCGGTAACACATGCAGTGATTCCAGGCCTTGATACCCGTCCCTGTCACGACAAGAATCTGTTCAGTGGACTTCCTCTTTCCTGATGTTCGTAAACTGCGCGTAGATATTAATAGTGATTTGTTGATCAACGCTTGTGAATGATAAGCTCAGACAAAAGTAACATACCTAAAAAACTTGTAAAATCACAAATAAACCAAATATTTGTTAATATTTATTCATTTATTTATTTACACTGTATTATCGGCAATAGACCAATTTCAATATAGAAAAAGTCATACTTGGCTTCGAGGCTTGGGGTTTAATGCAAAGAAATTGAGCCATGAGTTTCAGGGATGAATAATAATTAATTGTTTTCTTTTGCCTTATTCCCCTAAGCCTGACGGAGCTAAGTTTAAATTATTGGTCTTTTGTCCAAGAACAAAATATACAAATAGTGGACTTATGAACTGTTAAGGTTTCTTTTTTCACGACGCATCAAATGAAAGATGCGCAATCGCAATCCATTTTCTGGTCACATCTTGTCTTATCGATTAGAACAAGTTGTTGCTAACTTAACGTAATTGTCAGTTACTTCTTAATCCACAAAACGAGGTCCCTTTTTGTTAAATGTTGATTCCTGTCTTTTTGATAACTTCCTCCAGTCTGATACCCTCGTTTTCTAGAACATTATGCAGCTAAAAACCTAAAAAAAAAGATGAAATAAAACAAGATTACATTAATCGAGGATTGCCTATCTAGAAATGCATCATAGATTCGTCAAGGGAACCCCCTTTAAGTAGATTACAAGAGCTTCAAAGGCAAACAAGTTATCGTCGTGTTTTTGAACCAGGGCTCAAAAGTCCCGTGGTGCCTGCTGCTTTATTCACTTGCTGCAAGTTCTACTTTACAGGCAGTCTTCAAGCACTTCACGATCCGGCATACTGTATGCAATTACTGTATGTAATTCGGGCGGGGGATGGGAGTAGCCTCGGATTAATCCGTTTTGTATAAGTTGGTAAAAACCATTTAAGATGGGTTAAGAAATAAGGATATAATTACCTTGACACTGAATAGCCGAAGAGATTTTTACTGCTGCCGGCCTAGCCATCAATTATGACAAAATTGTGTTGTTCACTGCTCGGTCTGCGATTACACGCCTTACAAGTTCTAGGGCAGATGTCTTTCATAAGTTTTTCGATTTCTCCACCAGCGTTACACCAATCTTTGTTTTCTGTGCAAAGATCTTCCACCTGATCTTGGCAATCTAAAGAAGGAAAAAGAAGAAAATAAAGTAAATCAGGCAAAATGTATATCGACTTTTTAATAACGCCAAAAGGGGTTCATATGTTAAACCCGCGAAACTTTAATTCTTTTCAACAACTTTTGAGTCCTTTCATTTACTTCTCAAGATAGTTTCGCATTATCTACCCGCGTAACATATGAAGAGAATTAGAAGACCCGGTTTTTTTTTTAGGAACAGATTGATCTTATAACCGTATTTCTGAGAAAAATGTTATTCAGTCAGTCACAAAAGCGGCATGGAAGATTAAAAATCCGAGTAGCTACAATATGAGTCGAACCTATAACTTCCTACCCTCATCATAGACCTTATTTTTTCATTTGTACAGGAGACTTGAGAGAGCTAAGGCCACTATTACTGTTACAAAAAAGATAATTTAGTCTGGATCTGGAAGCTATTGCACGTTGTTAAGTCTGTTTGGTGAACCAAGCATTAGTGGGCATGAGTAAAGTGAAAAAGGAGGCCCTAAATTCTCAGACCGACCGTAAGGAAAACCGCAACGACGAAGGCGGGTAGATCAGCTTACCTTATTATAGGAAATTAACGCTCCATGAAATTAAGGTATTGGAAATTAACGCGACTTAAATTAACGCGAATTTAATGGGAAACGACTTTCGAATAAAGAAAATTAACGCGAAAGAGGAGGTAGAATTTCATAATAAAGGAAATTAACGCGATTAAGACACAGTTGGTGGAGACAACTGGGACAAATTTATTTCAACACTGGATGCAAAAAAAATCAAAACTGAGCAAAACTGAGCTGACATCACTTCTGACAGCGACAACGACGAAGATGAACTCGAAATATTGTAAACCTTTGCCTTAGCTTTTGTTAAAGATGAAAAATAAAGGATAAATGGAAAGAAAGAAAGCTTGTAGTTAATGTTTTTTAGGTGCCCAAAATTGCGGTTAAAATACTGGAAATTAAGAGCGCGGAAATTAACGCTGCACTTAATTAACGTCGTGGAAATTAACGCTCAACAAAATTAACGCGACTTAAATTAACGCGAATTTTAACGATTCGCGTTAATTTCCTATAATAAGGTATTCGAGACAGGGCGCTTTTTCGAGGTTGAGCGCTTAATCGAATAAATACGGCACTTGAATTGCTACCATGTTGATTACCTAGAAGAGAGTAATAAGCAAATGATCAAGTTACCACTTTCGCCAGGTGTGCAGAATCCACATGTGGCTGGACAGGCAAACTGTACTGTCTCCTGTATGTTTCTATCGGTTGAGTTGCAGGCTTCCACGCCATAGAAGTTCATGATCCTTCGGCAAAGTCGTCTGTCCTCACAGGTGTGAACTACAAGGAAGAGTGGCTAACGGTTAGAAGGCGAACCGAGTGTTCATTGCTCCTGACGCTGATATGAAAATGCCGGGGACGCCAATGATATCGCTTAGGGATGTACACTGTCTCAGTCTGGATGTTCAGGACCCGAGGGGCCCAATAACAAAGGTTTATTAAGGAGGCTCCCCACCGAAGTCCAACCTCTAGCCTTACCATTTTAACTAAAAAGGTGCCCCTTTCGTCTACTGTCTATAAATGGTATCCCTTTTAAATAGCTACTGATAAGAATAAATCGCCAACTGAACAAGAAGTCTCCTTATTTTCGTGTAACGTTTAATAAATTTAAATGATATAACCGTAAGGCGCGTTTTTCGAAAGACAAATACTTTTTGATTTTCCCGGCCCAAATACTTTAATGAAAGATTACCCCTTTAACGTATAGGAATTACAAGGGTCCTCCCTCCGGGGTTCAGGACGAAAGTCAATGTTTTTACCAACAAAGGTATCAGCTAGGAATTATGTGGAAAGAAATGTTGGCATAATACTACTTGAAGTGTGGTCTCCCTCTGGGGTCAATCCAGCATGAGTCACGCCCAGATTGGTGAGGGGTCGGTTTGAATTCTAAGATACGTGAGTTATATAAGTTTCTAAGTTGCACGTGTAATAGAAATATGACACCTGATCTGTTCATTACAGCCACTCCCCCCGTGGGGTACTCCAATAAATTTCGGATTGGTGGGTGCCGCCCATCCCCCCGGAATCCATGTTTAAGATCACTGGCGGAGCTTTTCAAATCTTTGGGCAAAAATCCCGTCATCAACTAAGCAGTCTGGAAAAGGAAATGATCTTGATGGTTTATCAACTTTCTTGTCATCAGCACCTTAGGAAACGTATGAAGAACAGCGTTGAGGTATGCTGGTACAACTAGGAATTAAAGGGTCGGGGTTGAGTTAAGTCAGTCAAGATAACCGAACCTTCCGCACGTAAAACTTCAACCAAATACACGAAAAACATTTCCTAAGAAGTCATACACCTCAAAGCAAAGCCACAGTAACTCATTGCTAAGGAAAGTTGGAAAACCAAGCAAAGCGTAACATTAAATTTAGACATGTTTCATCCCAGCCAACTAGCGGAACTTGATCTTTAATGCATATTAGTTAGGAGATCAGGCAAAGTATTCTAAGAGGTATGTGTCACGTTTTTTTTTCTTTTTTTTCTCTAAAGAATAAACGGAAGAAACAAAAGACATAAGCAATGATAAGTTAGCCATATATCCATGTTTCTAAAGCCCATGTTCAAGTGAAAGCAGGGCCGAACCGTAATGATCCGTTGAATAGCCGTGCATAGCAGACAGATAAGACTATCAATAACTGCTATTAGAGAGTTTTCAACAATGATGGAATGAAAACAACTTTAAGATGCCAATATGTACCAGACACTGTCAGACGACGAAAAGGTACGAGATTCAGATGTTTATAATGAATGCGCTCTAGCGCCTTTGTGGGGGTAATTTCAACACTAAAATAGAGCGAATTAAGGTTAAGACTATGAAAAATGATCGTAATTACGTTCGAGAAACTACGGTCTTATTTCCTCCCTATATAAGGCCGAATGTAAACAGCTTATCAGTTAAGACCACTTGAAAAAGTTGGTGTCTTAAACACCGATATTTTCTTACTCAGCTTGTTTAATGTTCACAAATGTAAAGAAGGATATAACTGATACCTTTTATGGTTTGGACATTAATACGAGCTAATACGTATTTAAAAGAAAACTGAATAAAACCGCGGAAAGGATAAAGGTTGGCTTGTTGTTTTTAATAAAATCTTGGAATTGGCATTAAGTAACCAAACGAGGGGGTCCCTGAGATACTTTGTCTGCCTCGGGGCAATATTGGCATTTTGATCGATGCGTTTAAGCCAAGGGATGGAAAAGGCATTTCTAGAGACATCGTAAATGGAACTTAAGGCTGAAAGCAAACGTAAGAACTTGGAATCGATTTGCTTCATTAATTCAGGAAATAGAAGCTGTTACATTCTTTACTAAACGTTCGAAGCGTGGACAAAACGGCTAACAGCTGAGTTCCTGCTTGATCACGCAAGGTTAACACAACAATGCCCTTCTAATCCCAAAACCGGTAATCCTTTAAATTTGCGGACAAACTATGTGTGTACAAACTATGCGTCTTACCTTCCGACACTGCTGAAGGCCCGTGCTCAGAGATTTTCCCTGCTGCATGTCTTCCTACATAGATGCTGGATGACAGAACTAAATTCCAACTCAATAACGCTTGCATGGCTAAAACGATGAAATACATCTTTGTTAACCCTCTCGAGACCATGTTCGATGATTTGTGTGACGTTTAGCTACGACTTGAGATGCAGTCTCTCTGCTCCTCGCCGTCTCGATCTGACTGACTCGTTCTTAAGGTGACTGGCCCTTTTATGAGCGGCACGTCACCAGAAGGCGTGACCTTTAAACAGGCGTGCAAGATTCACTCCATACCGAGAATTACTTGACAAGACCTCTGGACATCCTATCCTTTTACGGGCTTTTCATAGCAAGTAAAAAGTATACAAATCTCTAAAACATTTTTTGGAGAAAGGCTGCTAATCTAAAAACACCACAGGAACTATTTGCTGCGGATGTTCACGGAATCATCCCGGCTGGATTGGAATAACATCATTGCATGACTGCTTGGCGGCATTGCTGTGGGTCAAAACACAATAATATCACGATATCATTTGGAATCACGATCATTTACACATTTAATTTACTAAATTACTCGTATCAGATCCGATAAACTAAATGAACCCTGTTAAATTCCTCTTCTTCTCCGCTTCTGTCTCTCAGGATTGCGTTGTTTTTTGTTTTCATTTTCTGTTGTCTGTTCGTGATGACTCCCCGGTAACTATAGGCCATTTGTGACGGATAGTTAGTCCATACGCACCACTGGGAAGATTTAGTCACACGATTAAATGTTACAAATTCCTCCGAGATATCTAAACTTCTGTCTGTGTGTCTGATACGGTGCCTTTGAAACCAAATCAGGCCTTGCACGATTATTTACTTTATAAGCCACTAACTGGTTACGTTAATGCCTCCAGTAAACAATTATAAAGAAAAATAAAGGCCAAATTTCTTTTTCAGCTTTTTGCTTTGTTTGTCTTTTCGCCTGCTTCATAAATTAATGACACCTATTTTGATTTTATTTACATTTGCGTTGTCTCTATATAACACTTTTGGCTGTAAATACTGTGACAGGTGAGGTAAAATTATTTGTTAATGTCGGAAAGATTGATTAAGAGATAATGTTTATTTGAAAATTGTAAGATCGACGATGTTCGAAAGAGTCTCAACCGACGTTTCCGTAATGTTGCCTTCTTCAGGGTACAAGACTAAATACTGTTAAAAGATCTTAAAAAGTTCAGCGTCGATTTTACAATTTTCAAATTAACATTAACTAAATATGATAATCTTAATTGCACTTGATTATAGACCAACGCACAAGACCGTCTCACAAATGGGAGCTTAATTTGTGGGGTTTTCGTCGGGCCTATGATTCCGCCCGTACTATGCAAAAATCTCCTCTTCATTACCCTTGAATGTTCCCTCGGAAGATGGATTTGGGCTCCTGCCCAGTAGTTTGATGTCAAATGACATTATCACGCATTCGTCACCCAACGTATAAATTTTGTGTATTCGAATCAAGTATGAGAAGATGGAAACTGTCGATTAAAATACACGAAATGATTAAAGTGCCTTAGCAAGATACCAGGCGAGATTCGAAAGTATTGGCACGGGATGAGGGATCACGGCAAAAAGTAATCATCGGGATTACGGAATTGAGCGGAAATTTGGGTCGGAATGACAAGAATAAAGACCTCTTTTGGGGACCCTCTTGCATGTGAAACAAGTGACAGAGAGGAATATAACCAAAAAACCAAGCTCTGTTTTTATATTTTATGACAAGTTAAGAACGTTATCCAAATTGAGACCCTAAAAAATGTAAAGTATGTACCTGCAAAAGAGTTGGTACCTGCTATTATAAAGGTAACTGTTTATTATTTCAGAGAGTATTCTAGAAGTTATGTTGACAGCTAACTAAGTAATATGCCTCCATGTAGGCATTTTAAAAACAGACATAAATTTCCGATCACATACGACCCCGAGCAGTTCTGGACCCTCCTGCTCGAGTGGCCAGTCTCAAAAAAATGACAACATCGAGATGGGGATCAGCTTGAACTAAAATTTTTGACGTTGTTTACACACGCAAAAGGCACTGTAATCTTTGTTTAGCAAAACGTTCAAGTTGCACGAATTGAACCGGAAACTTTCAAACCAACACCAGTCGTAACCATAAATAGTTCTTCTCATTTTGGTCGGTTTCTGCCAGAGATATTAGACCAATTCTTTAAAAATCTGGAAAAAATTCAATTTTACGAAGAAGCACGTTTTTCTGATCATGTCTATCTTGCACAAATGAGTGACGAGCCAATGGGGGGTCGTGGTTCAAACATTTTTGACCATGATTCCTTTTTTCAAAGGTCTTCGGTCAAGAGATGCATGTGTTAAGCGAATGCCGGAAAAAAAAAAACATCGATATGAGCCACTTATAGTAAAGCATTCGTCATTCAAACGTGGGCGAGAGTCCAGTTGAATCCTCTCCTTTAGAGTCGAATCCTCTAAAACACCATGCTGAGAAGCTTTCAGCGTAACTTTATTAATTAATTCTTGCGGAAGAAGCCCTGCTTCTCTCGTTGCCAAACTCGTTCCCAGGACATTTCCCTTCGCTTCAGTGTTAACCGCTGATTACATCAACCGCGACGAAAGGTCCGGAGGATGAGAATAGTCACATAGTTTTGATTTAGGGGCCCTGATCATGTGAGGAAGGATCAATGTACAAGGTACAAATGTGAGACAGTCTTCCTGTCACATCCAAAACAGGAATAAGCCTCACTCCCTTTAGTAAATTAAATTCGCAGACAAACTGTATCGCTGAGAAACTCTCTATCTAACATGTAACTCAGTCAGTCTTAAGCGCGTATAAGCATCCTTTTCTGACAAGACCACGTCTCATTTCTGGTATTTAGCCTGACTTAGGGGCTAATTTGACGTCTTACTTACATAAGACGAGATAAGCCACAAAAGATTTCAGACTTACTTTTAAAAACAATCTTTTGGACATTTGAAACATTTCTGCTATTAATTCCATTTCTTCTTACTGATAAATTTTGTGAAAGCATTTCCGGATACAAATTATCGCCCCGATTCTCCAATTTATGACACATCAAGTGTTACACACCCTGCTAACTTGTCTGAATTGTTTACATTCTCAATGTTTTAAGTCTTAAGAAATGAAATTGTACCAAACGCAAACGTAACTAATTTACATGTTGCAGTTTGCTCTCATTTCCAAATTATATAGACAGAATTCAGGTTACAGTCACAATTCGTACAGAGATACAGGATTATAAAAGTCGGACTGTTTTCAGTTCGCGTTTCCACTAGCCTTTCTTTAATAATCGCCATACACCATTCACTCGACATTACTAGCAGGAAGTCACATATGAGCACTGTAAAAGGCCTTGCCCTTCACGAGTTTCCTCGTGCTTGATGGCTACTTTGCCCAATCGGTAACTGCGGGTTGTCATCATGGGTTCACAAAAAATCTGAGCGATTCGCTGCAATTTCTCTGTATGGATCGGCACCTTATCTCTGCATCCTTGTGTCCCACTGAAGCGAATCAAAGTTGCGCGCGAAGGCCTTCTTTATCTTTTATTCATTGAATGTTGTTATTATTATGCCTAAGCTGGTATTTTTCGCTTTTGCTTTTTCAGTAAACAGCTACTAGGACTTAATTCAGGTGGTATTCTCATTTCTCATGGTAATACCATACCGTTAAAGGAACTGCAAAAATCTAATTTAGATCAATTTTTTGGTAAAGGAAATTACAAAACACTCAATCTGTTAAGTCAATTACAACTTTTTTCATCCAAATTATTAAAAACAAAATTAGCAGTCAATCTACTTCAGCAGTATATGGATCAGTATTTTGAAAAGAATTTTATTTATTTAATTATGTCGCAGTATGAAACTTTGGAATGCTGTCCACATTATGAGTTTTAAAGGGCGCATAGCGTAACCTACACGACTTGAGAAGCTATACTTAGAAGTAAAAAAAGGTCGATACGAAACCTAATACAATCCTAAAATACATAGTGATATGAATCTCTCTACTTAAAAAGCCAATTTAGAATATTATTAAATTCTGATACCCTGTAAAACCTTCGCTATCTTTACTAAAAGCTTATACATAGTGATATAAATCTCTCTACTTAAAAAGCCAATTTAGAATATTATTAAATTCTGATACTCTGTAAAACCTTCGCTATCTCTACTAAAAACATATTTATAATAATATCAAACTCTAATGTTCTAAAAAATCTAAGTAAAAACGTCAGCAAGCTTGTGTTTCTAGATTTCTAGAGAAAAAACAAAAACCTAAAAACTGAAGTCCATAGCGCCCTAACTAAGTATTTATCTTAAATGTTCTGGCAATGTTTAAAGTGTTTGAGATGACCGACTTCTGCATCCGCTCAAGTACGCTCCGTGCTCTCGCTCCAAGTAGCTTCCTCACCGACTTCTCTAGGTGTTTAGAGTAACCCCCCAGTACGTCAATTATTACGTTGTACTGTTCAACCCTGTACCCATTGTATCTCTGCTTTAGCTCCCACATCATGGGTCCATACTTGAGTGTCTTTTCCTCATCTTTCTTAGCTCTACTCTCAATCCATGGGCAGCTCATTTCAATTGTGCAGACTTCTTTCCTCTCGTGGTTGACAAGTCGCGCGTCGATCCGATTTGCTCTAACTTCGTTGTGCCCTGCATAGATGGGAATATCCCAAAACGCCTCACTCGTGGTGTTCTGGTAGGCTGGTTTTGGCATCACCGGTGAGTACCATGGTGGAACCTCTTCCATTAACCCATGCTCTCGCAGGAGCTCAAAAAACAGAATCTTCAAAGCTGCATTATGCCTTTATAGGTACTTGGTTTGTGCCAGGGAGGAACATCCAGCCAGTACATGTGCAATGCTCTCAGCTACCTTCCCACATAACCTGCATAGAAAACTTCGCCGTCGGTGGAGGTTTGCGTCTTCTCCTTTGTGTAGAGCTTCGTAGGTAACAACTGCTCATACAATTCATGCCCGCGATGGTATGTGTAGGGCATGTAGCCCAATCTTTTAACCATGCAAAGCAGCTGGTTATGCTTAGGCTCTCATCTTCCCATCTGATACGGAATAACTTTCCTTGCAACTTTTTGTCTTTAGCGATCTCCAAGAACTTGAACTACTCTTGAGATTGCTTCAACAGATTCCCAGCTCTTGCTGCAGTTACCACTTTTCCTTCTGTTACAACACACACGGGATTTAGGGTATCAAGCTGAAGTGTGATGTTGAGTTCTTCAGCGTACTTAGCTGCTTCCTTTACGAGCGACTG